ATCATTATCTGTCATAAAAATGATGGTGTTCCCTTCCCTCCCTCTGCTCGCTCGCTCACTCGCTCACTCACACATTATCATTGATCCTCTGGACGTCTAAATACAGTCAAACACTTGTACTGAAAACAATGAAGCACTTCTAAACAATCATTCCATGTTTCAGTTGTTACTCAGTGAACTGTGCGAAAAAAAAAGTTGGGGTAACACCCTGTATTTCAAAATCTCTAACTCAGCAACAACAACAACAAATAATTGCATTTATGTAGCGCTGAAATGTCTGCACTGCAAATATAGAAAGTATGTTAGGACAATAATATATTTTTAAAAAATACACGATTCGGATCTGTACCCTTTCGTGTCTAAAGAAGGAGAAACAGGATATAAGGACGGATCAGAGAGCCCAGCAGTGTGAGGAGGGAACTGAGTGAGGTGGAACAGAGTGAGAATTCTGTTAAGGAATTTGGTGAGAGTGGGAATTCGGTGCAGAGGGGGAAAGAGGTTGATAATTATAAAATTGATCAATCACTCGCTCGCTCGCTCACTCCACTCACTCACTCGCACCCAACGTCTGGACGTCTAAATACAGTCAAACACTTGTGCTGAATACAATGAAGCACTTCTAAACACAATTATCATTATTCCTCCACATGTTTCAGTTGTTGGTCAGTGCACTACGTGTGTAAAAAAAAGGGGGTAACAGGACTTTATGGACACCCTGTATTTCAAAATCTCTAACGCAGCAACAACAACAACAACAAATTACATTTATGTAGCACTGAAATGTCTGCACTGCAAATATAGAAAGTATGTTTGGACAATAATACATGTTTAAAAAGTACATGATTTAGATTTGTACCCTTTTGTGTCTAAATAAGGAGAAACAGGATATAAGGACATTTATTTTCACAACTGGACTGTGACAGATGCTGTAAATGCCAACCCACTCTCCTGCGGAGTGTCAGTCAGTCCACAGGCCTTCCTATTCAGTCAACTGCATCCATGTCTGTGTCTCCTGTTCCCTCGGCAGCACTGCCCTGGGCAAGGCCTGACCATGGGTCAACTGGAGATGGGACTGTTTGGAGTTGAAGCCTTGAGTGACGAAATTATTATTTTTTTTTGAAGGGATTATTACCCCTGTAAGGAAAGTAAGGAAAGTTTTGCCTTAGGTTTTGTTCGGTCCGGGAATCGAACCCAGGGCTCTGACTTGTGAGGCGAGTGCTCTAACCAGTACGCTCCAGGATTCCACAATTATGCATAACCCTTCGACAACAAAAATACTTTACATTGTGATAGTCATGAATGACTTCACAAAGCAAGTTCAGGTAGGTCTGAGCGCAGGGAAAAAGCAGTTTTTTTTAACCAGAGATTAATTATACATCAGAGAATTTCAGAGGAAGAGATTGAGAACAACTTTCAAAAGGGATACTTTGGCTTTGAACTAGGAACAAATTCCTCTTACAGTCCCCACTTACTAATGCAAACACTTCCAAGGGATTAAAAGGTTATACTATATTATTTGTCCAACATCCAACGACATCAAAGAATGTGTAGAGGTCAAAACAATAGGCATGTGCACAAAGGGCACGCTTAAAAACGCCCACCACAAGCAGGTTTGGGCATTGCAGTTAGTTAGCACACAATTCCTTAGTTCTTTCATTTCCTTGCATTTTTGATATAGCGCCTTATCACATCTTCGAGACATCTCAAAGAGCTTCACGGAATATACTGTAAAGTATAGTGACTGTATATTTTGTGTTGCCGAAACGTGGCAGCCAGTTGTGCACAGCAGTGTCCCACAAACAGCTTGGATTGAGTGACCAAATTATAAATAATATTTTTTAAAGGATTATTAACCCCAGAAAAGCGATCCGCCAATCGACTAACAACTGTGTTCTTACTTACTGCTGATTAACAGAGGCGTGAGGAGTAAGGAAACTTGCCTCATGTTTCAATCTGCCTGGGAATCAAACCCAGGTCCTCTGCTTGCGAAGCAAGTGCTCTAATCAATACGCTACAGGACTCCACGCAAGGAAATACAGATGTGATATCCCTCCCAAACCTAACCACTGAAGCAGAAATATATAAATCATAATTTTACAAAGCTAAAAAAAAACAATTAAAGGAGAGAATCTCTGTACACCATGTGTGAAAGACCAGATGTAGAAAAATATGTAGCATTAACGCTCCTACTTGGTACAGTACCTCACTATGTTGAAGCATCTTGAAGTGCTTCATCCAATTAGTTTAAAGAGCAATGATGGTTTAAATTTTTTTACACCACCAGCAACAACACCAAATTACACTTGTATAGCGCCCTTCACATCGGGAGAAAATTCCAAGGCACTGAACAATCAGGTATTTGGACCCAAGCTTGGGGTTAGGGTCAGGGCGGTGGAGGGCAGGGAGGGTAGGAGCATGGCCGAATGCGCAGTGAAAGAGGGCGGACAAGTTCTGAAGGAGGCAAAGGAGGGAGCAAGATGAAGGGACTGTGGGATGGAGTTCCAAAGGTTGGGGGCGGAGAAGCTGAAAGCCCGATCACTGATGGTGGGCGGTCAGGCAGGGCACATGGAGCAATGGACAGGTTGATATGGGGTCAGCAGGTCAGTGAGGTAGGAAGAAGCAAGGTCATGGAGGGCCTTGAAGGTGAGGATGCGAATTTTGAACTCGATCCTCTGAGGGATGGGGAGCCAGTGGAGCCGGGCGAGGGTGACAGGGTCACAGAGCCTGGTGTGGTAGAGGAAACGAGCTGCAGAGTTCTGGACGATCTGCAGCTTGTGGAGAGAAGAGTTGGGAAGGCCGACAGGCAGGAAGTTGACGTAGTCGAGCCTAGATCTAATGCGTGGATGAGGGTTTTGCTGACCTACGTTGTAAGACAGTGGCGGAGCCGGGCGATGTTGCGGAGGTGGGGGAAGGCAGAGCGGGTCATGGCACGGCTGTGGGGTAGAAAGGACAGCTGAGGGTCAAACAAGACGCCAAGGTTCCGGACTGGCTCAGTGAGGTGGAGTGTGCAACCATGGATGGTGATGCTTTAAACTGAATGTTATCATCAGCATGCAAACCAAGATCGTCATACTTGCAGTCCAGGAGCATGAGCCAGACTCTGTACTCCCTTCATAAACACTCATTTTGGCCTAACTTGGTCCACAGATGCTTTCAGTAGCAAGCGTCATACAAATTGCATTTATTACAAATGGATGGATTAGGGCCAATAGTCCCAGGCAAGGGTTGCGATGATGCTTTTGCAAATAAACAGAAAATCAAATCACAGCATAGTTGGTATCTCAGTAAAATAAAAATATTTGGAGGTTTTCTCTGACATGTAATATTTTACTAGTGTACAGCGTGCCAAGTACTCATGTTAGCTGAACTGGTTGCAATTATCGGGACACAAGATATTGTATTTGGTGAAGTGAGCTGGAAATAATTTTAATATTACAAATAATAGCGATTTGGATGCTCAATCCACAACTGCTTGTGGGACACTGTTGTGCGCAATTCCCTCACAAAACACACATTCACTACACTTCACAGTACGTTCTGTGAAGTGCTTTAGACATCAAAACAACATGATAAGGCACTATATCAAATGCAAGGATTATTATTATGATTATATGCCAGCACTCTGAAAAGCACTATATAAATGCTAGTTGTTAGCATTATTGTAGTACATTCAATGGGCTACAAATAAGACATTAAAAAGTCACAGGTTCTATTATAACTCATTTAACCAATGTCGCACGTGTCTGACCATCTTGAGAAATGAATTTTGGACCATCCCTTGAAGCAAAGTATCACCATATTTCCACTTGTAATATTTTTTGATCCTCAACAACAATTTGCATTTATATAACAGGCTAGCTTCTCTGAGTGCTTAATTCTTAGCTGTGAAGAGCTTTACGACGTTCCACACAGCGTGAAGTAGGCTATGGAAATGTAAATTGCTGTTGTTCCATTTGATACAACACTAATAACATTAACAGCATCTTGAAATTACATCACAGGTAATTCTGTTAAGTACATTGACCATTAGTCCGTATTTGCCACAACATTCTTCATACAATAAGATCACACAAACAGCAAATTGTGGGAGAACACAATTCCCTTTTTGAAGTGCAACACAAATCATAATGCAGCGGGAATAGACTAATTCATATGGATGGATTTATCGCACAAGAACTCCAGCCACAGCAGATTACACTGAGTTTACAGCAGCCAATGTTGCAACAGACTGGAACAGACTCTCAACAAAAGTGACTGAAGTGCCAATTAATCCTTCAAATAAAAGTTTTTGTTTTGAGTAGATTGTAGAAATGGAAGGTACAACCTGAGCAACAGATACAGAACCATCTATGTGTTGCTGGACTAAGAGAATTTGTCTGTGAAGAGAAGGAAGCCACGGTTTAATGACGGGGATAGAGATTTTGCTCAATTATTTTGGGGATGCAGATAATAACATAATAATAATCCTTGTGTTGATATAGCACCTCATCACATCATTGAGGTGTCTCATGGCGCTTCACAGAATATACTCTAAAGTGGATTGACCATATATTTTTGGGGGGCAAAACACAGAAATCAATTGCGCACAGCAGTGTCCCACAAACAGTTGTGGATTGAGTGACCAAATTATTATTTATTTATTTACTATTTTGAAAGGATTACCACCAATGGAAAACGATCCACCAATCGACTAACAACTGGGTTTCTACTCAATGCTCGTCCTACATGTTATGTTATATTATAAACAGCGGAGTGTGGAGTAAGGAAACTTACCTAAGGTTTCACCCTAGCGGGAATTGAATCCAGGCCCTCTCACTTTCCTCTCAAGATAGCCTCTGTGCATAGCTTTCCCTCAAGACACTAACTGTGGATGGTCTGGAAGCAATGTGCTCGATAGGCTGAATGGCTTTTTTCTCATTGCCTCTGCTTGATCAAAATGTTAATTGTAAGAAATGAGAAAAATAACAAGCGGCCAAACCAACAAAGCACCACTTACTTACCTTGGAGGTGACATGGTACATCATACTCAATCTCATCATGTCGGGAAGGACTGAGGAACAGAGTGCCATCAACAAGAGGAAATTGTTCAAACACTGGGAGAATTGTGTGACACAGTGCACAGTTCACAACGTATCTCTGACTCTCGCTAAGGGCTGTGAGAATGAACTTCCTGAGATCCTCTCCTTGACCCATCTGAGCGTCGTCTTCCATGCGTACATGGTAGGTGTTTATTTTATGCTTGGGCACGTGGGCGAAGAGTTCTGACAAATCCAACCTCCTGAGGAACTCCACTGGAGCGTCAAAGGGACCAGCCTTGGTGCCTGAAATCCCAACCGCTCCGTACTCTGGCTGGCAGAATCTCGAGCCGCAACTGTTGGGTAGGGTCTTTTTGTAGGTCTCAGTGTGAACCGCCGTCTTGAAGAACTCCCCCAAATGTCTGGCTCCTCGGGGCCCACTAACCGATAGAGAGAAATAGGAATGTCCTGTTGGAGGGGACTGTCCAGGAGACCCGCAGGGCGACCTAAACGCATCTTTGTGCGCACTCCCATGACTCCCGTTGCCCGAGCCCTTTTCCTGCGAGTTCTGCCTGTCCATCGAATGCCTCCTCTGCAGGTCCTGGCCAGGGGGTTTCTGCGGCCTGTTGAGTTTGCACTTTTTACCCTCGTCAGGTACCTCCCCAGACTTGAGGGCAATTTTATCTGACGATGGCTTCTTCTTCTTGTCATCCTGCATCCGTCTGACCTGGTACCAGTCCACGTCCTTTTTCAGGTGCCCTTGTCCATAGCGACAGGAGCAAAATCGGAAGGCCAGGTCATAGCCTTTCTTGGTCCACATGTTCTGGCGGCATTGCTTCTCATTCCAGCTGCGAGCACGACCAATACAGTTGAACTGGACCAGGATGCTGCTCTCCCACTCGTAGAAGCATTGCAGATGCATCCAGTTGCCACACTGGCAGTGTTCGTTGTTGCACACGACCCGCTGATAGTCATCCTTGTCCAGGTTAACAGGTCTGCCCAGACTACAGACCAGCGGTGTGGCACACAGCACTTCTGGGGAATGCAAGAGACACATTTTTAACATAACGTAACATAACATTTTTAGTATTACAGCAACCACAATGTAGAGGTCAAGCTTAATTAATTCTATTTAATAATATGATAATAATTCTTGCATTTGATAAAGCGCCTTATCACGTT